GAGCGAGTCCGTGCAACGAGTTGCTCCCATAATGCATTGCAGCTTAGCGTGCGCCTAAAAGTATGCAACGTGTAACAGTAAACAGCGACTGAGTCGAGGGACTGACTAACTGACTGACTAACTGACTGACTAACTGACTGACTGACTGACGGACTGACGGACGGACTGAGTGAGTGGCCAACTGACAGTTGGCCATTTGCTAAGTTTGTCCGCACAAACCGAAAAACTTGTCAACATGTTGAGTGCAGCAGCGCCTCCGGGAGAAGTCGCCGCAGTTACCCGCACAAACTTTGTGGCAAGCGAAAAATATATGAAAAAAAAAAGCATATTCGACTGGGAGATACCCTGTAAGCTGCCTAGCAGTGCTGTCAGTCGATGCTTTGCGGACAAAAAATGATAAAAAGCATTATAAAATTATTCTGCAGGGAAAATCAAAGTCTTATAACGTTCGTAAACTAAAAGCATTCTGATTCAACTGACTTGAGTTTCAAAAGTTTTGAGAAACAAATATACAATAGAGAATCTCGAAAAGTGATACGGAAGTATGCTAAAAGTCTAAATCTGTTGAGCCCTTTGCTCAACCAGTGCACAGGGTTACAGGGTATAAAAACAACATGAATAAATAAAAAAGCGAAAAGAAACAAAAAAGAACTGTCATCAAAAATGAGCACGTGTTTGTTATTCGTGCGCTGGTTGCTCTTTTTCTCTTGTTTTTGTTGGCCAGTGTTTAGTTTGTACAGGTGCATTCCTGCGGGAGGCAGCTTAACCATTGTGCTGGCCCGCATCGTGAGTGGATTTTGCGGATTTTCAGCATATAAAACAAACAGCAAAGACAACAACTTATTTGGGCACTTGATAATTGCATTTGAGATTAACAAACAAATACATATAAAGATCCGACAATACAAGTATCTACAGATTAGATATTTGTGTAAATATTTTATACGTGGCCACAAAAAGGAAGTATAAATAAAATAACTCAATTTTCAGCCGATTACTCCCAGAGGAACTATAAGTTATAATAGTCGCATGTTGGGATTTATGTTTGGATTTATCAAAAGGTTTATTTAAGTATTCAATTCGTATGCAAAACTTTTGAAATTTTCTTAACTAAACTAATTTATTTGGAATGTCTCAAGATTTAGGCCTTGCCTTGACAGCTGACGGGTTAAAACTATTAATCTTTGCCAAAATCTCTGGCCAAGACAATGCCTGTCGGAGTTGCTAATAAAATAAGTTGACGTCAGGTTTGGTGACGAATTTTCATTGAATTTTTAATTACAGCTGAGATGAATTGACAAGCGGTTGGCAGGTGTTTCATGTTGCCCACCTGCGGCTTTAATTAATTAAGAGTGAAGCTGAAAATTTCAGCGTGAGAGTGAGAGAGAGGGAGAGAGAGACTTTTTGTGTGTGCGCGGGGTTAAAAGTTTTCCCTTTTCGGGATATTTTAAAACGAGCCGAGCCGGAAAACATCTGCAAGACATTAAAGAGTCTGTTGGGTGTGAGTTGTAATTTTATAGCGTTGTAAATTTGTGGGCAGCTGTAACTTTTTCTGTTTACTCTTAACGACTGCTAATACCCTTTGGCAAACAGGAAAATATATATTGAGCAGCATCTACTAAGCGTAGACAAATGTGTGCATTTAACTATCAGTTGTAGTCGCAATTGACTTAGTTTCATTTTGTAAAAGTTAACTACAAAATGTTGCAATTTGTATTAAAAAGTCTCAAACCTCATCTCTATTAATTTGGCTTAAATATTTTCAATAAATATTGCATTGTAGTATATTTTCTAAAGAGCCATTTGATGGTCTGGCATACCCGTGCTCACACATGAAAGACTTTCTTAACTATGAGTGGAAGAATAAAGAAATCATTCATGAAAAATTTCTGCTTTAAGGATACTCTTAGAAACAAATAGGAACTTAAAAATATTATATTTAATGACCTATAATTTGTATCTAGTTTAAGAAAATGTATTTAATATACTAAAAATACCCTCATCAAGGAGTATCTGAGAGGCGCATATTCCTGCAGCTGAATAATTTTTAGTTATTAAGGCGTGTCGAGACAAAGAGCAAATTACGCCGCTTATCTGCACAATTTACGTGCTCGGGCACAAAGGACCCCGCCAGGCAGGTCCTTTTTGTCTGCAGCGCTGCATTTTGGAGTCTTTGTGCGCGGCGAGCACAGAATTTGTGAATTTCACGTCGAGCGGCAGAATTTCGCCAAAATCAAATGCAGCGCGTGCCTCAAATTCAAAGGGATTCAAAGCGAAAGCTTTAAAACAAAAGACCCAAAAAAGCGAAAGCACGCAAACGCCTTGAAGCCAAGGCTACAAGGATGCGAACGCAATGCAGTTTCCATTACAAAGGACGCAGGACGCATCGCTGCAGCCATTAGAAAAGCGCAGCTTGTTGTCCAAAAATTCCATACAGAATGAAAGTTTTTCTCCCTTATTATACTCTGGTCGTTATTTTTTAAAGGGTATATTCGTCTTGAGTAGAAATTTATACAGAGTGAAAGTTTTCCTACTTGACTATACTAAACTTTTTTTAAAGGGTATATTCGTTTCATGCAAATTTTCATACGGAATGAAAGTTTTTCTCCTATATTATATTCTGTTCCTTATATTGTAAAGGGTATGCTGGATTTGTGCACATTTTATACAGAGTTAAAGTTGTTCTTCTTTATTATACTCCGTATTTTTCCTAAAGGTTGTTTTGTGCTAAAATTCATTCAGAATAAAAGTTGTTCTTCTTTATTTTACTCTGTTTTTTTAGGGGTTTATTGGTTATTAAAATATATATACAGACTGTAAGTTTTTCTCCTTTATTTTTCTCTGATTTTTCTTAACGGGTATATTGGCTTTATGCAACATTTATAAAGAATTAAATATGTTCTCCTTAATTATAATTTTGTTTTTTTTTTTTGGAAAGGGTATATAGGTATTTTATAAATTTATGCAGAATGGGATTACTTAGAGAGTCCCTTAGTATACTCTGCTTTTAAAGAATTTTTAAAGTTTTTTTACTCTCATAATGCTGAACACTTCAAGCTTTGATTATATGTATATTCGTGTTATGTACTTTTGCATTATGAATATTCTGACTTGGTTTGTTTTTAATTGTGAACAGGGTATTGCGTAGTTGTATGCCCCCGACAACAACGTACCTACTTGATATTTTCTACTCTTGTGGGACTCCGCGCGAAGCCAGGCATAGAAATTACGACTTGTTGTAGAAGAGTGGGAGTGTGTAAGTGTGTGTGTGTGTGCGTGTGTGTGGTGCGCTCAAAAACATGCTACAAAATTGTAAAGAGCCGGCCGAAACGAGTTGCCAACTGCCGCCAGTGCCAGCAGCACCAATGGAGCCAGTTCTGCGAACAGAGTGGAGTGTGCGTGTGGCGGAGAGGGGGGAGGAGCCTGTGGGGGCAGCGAAGGGCCAAAGGCATGACTAGCATTTTTGTGACTTTCATGTACCATAAATTATTTTATGTTATTATTATACAATGCACACAACATGTAACGGGTTGAGAGAGTGGACAGAGGGAAGGTCGCGCGGGACGACAAGCAACAAGCAAAATGGTAAATTTTACTTTTATTGCGATTACGTTGACATCTTGTATGTGTTTGCCTTTTACGCTTATTTCGCGGCAAGGCGGAAGATTGGATGAAAATAAACCTTAGTAAATGCTAAAAGACAATAAGTCACATAAACCGAGCTGCCGTTAAAGCCGAGACATCAATTTAATAGACATAATTTATGTGAGATCGATGAGCTATAATATTACCAGAAATTGCGACAAACAGGTAAAATACGAGTAGGGAAGTTAAACAGAATTTTAATCAAATGATGTACTTCCTATAATCAAGAAGTTATTCCAGAAAATACTAACGCTAAATATTATGAATGATTATATTATTAGACTGCAAGTTTCTAGTTGCAAGTACTTAAGTTTATTCAGCTAAATACTATTAAACAAGGCAGCAAGTCGACTTTGAACCAAGCACTGGTTCCAACCAAGAAATTCAATTTATTTATTACTGTTAACCGAATCTTAACCAACATTTTGATCAAAAAGGTTTTGATTTTAAGGGTGAACCAGAACCAAAGCTTAAATAATTCATAACATTTATCTAAACATACTAGATGCCAATTCCGAAGACAATGCAAATTAAGTTTACAAAAATATAACAACATTTCTATAAAAATTCAATTGATTCATTAACATTTTCAAAATATACAAAACAAAACCTTCGTTCATGGATGTGAAAAACCAGGCTCGCGAAAAGAACTTTAAGCCATGGAATAAGTTCGAACAACGAAACGAACTAATAAACTTCTTTTAAAATTATGATTATGGTTGAGCTAGCAAATGCTTTCTTGTTTTCCTAACTAACAATTCCGAACGCAGCTTCAATTAGTAAGGAATGGAGCTCAAAAGTTTTCATTTCATGACCAGTAAATAAGATTTTTAAAGCATATTCAAATCCCGCGATTCGTTTGCTGGCACTGTCATGTGTTTTTTAAAAATTCCATAAGCGTATTTTTTGTGCTAATGGAGAGTTTAGACGAGCAAGTGCAGCCTTTATCGCTCCGCCGAGCGAGCGAGTGTCTGGGCTAAGGCAGTGGAAATGAGGTGGAACAAAGTGCAGCAGGCGCAGCTCAAAAGCTCAAAGACAAAGCGAAATGAAATCATAAATGCCCGGACACGTGCCATGGCAGGACGCAGAGCACCAACCACGTGCTCCGCTTGCAAGTTGCAAGCTGTGAGCTGCCGTTGCCGTTTGCGAGTTGCCACTTGCCCCATTTCGGAGCTGTGGCAACGAGGTGTTAAAGTTTTTGGCAAACTCCTGAATACGAGTTAGTTAAATATTTAAATTTATTTATTGGCGCCGCCTGGCAGCCCCCCTGAAAGTCCTTGCAGCCCGTTGCAGTCCGCTGGACGCCCATTTAAAATAATCAGGAAAACAACAAACAAAGCAGCGTGCAAACTTACCGTGTGCCTCTTTGCCGAGTCCAGTGCCAGCGCCCATGCCCATGGCAGCGCCGTGTCCAGAAGAACCGCCGCCGCCGCCGGCTCCTCCGGCCATAGAATGCTGGTGCGCTAATGTGACCGGCATTACGAGCGCCAGAGCCATAAAAATTTTCCACATTGTTAACGTGGCCATTTGACTTTTATTGCACTTCATTTTCATGCGCTGCTCCTATTTTACTATTTTTTCGTTTTTATTTTTTTGTAATTTCTTTTGGCCAAAAGCTGCAGTTGGCTTCCTTCTAATATTTTTTTTGTTGTTTTTTTTTTCCTTTCTTTTTCTGTGCGCCGCTTGTTGATTTTAATTTGATGTGACTTAAGTTGGATTTGGTTTGCAGATTTCGCCAGTCGCAGCTGCAGTTTTGGCCCGTCTGGTTGCCAGTCAGTTTATGCTTCACTTCTCACTCCCCTCTGCTCCACCTGCTGCGGCTACAGCCTCTGTCTAGTGGTAGCACATTTCGGTGGCGCCGCACCGGCAGCAGCTATAAGAGAATTGGAGAAAGAAAGTTGAAAAAAAAATGCCATCAGTTGAGTACGTTGAAAAGTTTATTTTAGAATGTTGGTTGGGCGGGAAGGAGGCTTTCTTTGGGCGGTAGCTAGTTAAAAAGTTGTGAAAGTTTTCGTTAAAGTCAAATTGAAGCCGCAATTATCGAGTTGTAAGGCGCAGATACGCACACTCACACCCACAAACACACCCCCCCCCCCCCCACACACACACAGGCGTGCTCTATCCCCGGAGAAGTTCGAGCTAAGCCACATCGGAATGAACAATTTTTGAAGCAACTGTTCGGTTTGTCAACTTGTTGAAAAAGTTTTTACATTCCTATTCCTTAAGGGCAGCAACTTCTCAAGTTGTTTAAAATATATGTCAAAAGCATAAGATATATATTTAATTTATGCTTATTCAAGAAAAGAAAATTAGAAAGTAAATTATTCCTAACTTAAGAGTCTACGATTGACCGAGGTAATAATAATTCGGGAGAGAATCTCGCCAAACGGGACGGTCTTTGAGTCCCAATTGGGACAGGGTTAATCGAAAATAATGTCAAATAAGGTCTACGATAAAATATTAAAAATATTAAAAATTAAAATAAAAAATGTATTTTAAATACTTTTAAATTTCTCCCAATTTTAAAAAGTGTTTTCCTGTTTAGAACATTTAAGGAAAAGCATTTGTTTGATTGCAGCTAATATAATTATTTTGTGAAAATAAAACAGAAATAATAATTATTTATAAAAAAAATCTTAAATGGAACATAAATATTTTATGAAATATATATAGAATAATAATGATAGTTATTAAATATGTAAAATAATATATAAATAATACATAAGACACAATACAATATAATACCAAAGCAATTCCAGAATTAACAATGTATTTAGTATTTAATTAATTTTATTTCACTTTAAAAAACCGAACCTGAACATTAGGAGCAAAAAATTTAAAATTCATTGTGCTCTCAACTGTCCAGAACTTGTCAGACCCAATCAATTTAATAAAAAAGATACCCATATCGAAACTAGCAGCATTTAGTCATATATATTTCTGCTCGAAAATCGGGTATTCACAATTTCCCAAGCCACGCAATTGTCACAGTTTCACATAAATGTATTGAAATTGGTTTAATACCAGTTGCACAGAATTCAGTTTTCTTTTCAATAATCAGCGCAATAAGAGTTCCTTTCTTTGGTTTCCATATCCAACACACAACAAACTCAATGATATTCGCACATGGTACGAGTTTGAGTACTATTTTGAGTGTCACAGAGGCTCTTTGTATGGCATCCAAATACCATTCGCAATCGCATTTCCATTCCCAAGTAGCTGGCGCAGATAAAGCCACGACGCGGCAACAAACAAAAATTTACAATTTCCGGCAAGTCCCTTAACGCCCCCCCCCCTCTCTCGCTCTCTTTGAACCCACCTGCAACCCCCCCTCAGACGTAGTAGATTGCCAGCGTTCGATAAAAATGTTGCCGTGGGGGCCAGAGAAAATTCAAAGGGGATGCTGCAAACGCAAATAAAAACAAGAAGAAAAGAAAATAACTAACATAAAAATTAAGGTACAAAAATTTGACACACGACAGAAAAAAAAAATGGGAAAAAGGCAAAAGCCACTCATATATCTTAACGTGTTAAAAAAAAATTCTATAAAAATGCTCAGATGCAAATAATAATGATGATTTGCAAATACAAAATGAAGCTGACAACAAACTTGGCAACAAGAAAACGAAGCGATAAGGAAGGCGGAGTGGAAAAGGTAAAAGAAATGCTGACAAGCAAAAGGTAGCGCTAATAAATAGACACAAAGGCTGATGCCATGAGAAGGTTGCAACAGATACAACACGCCAAAGGGCCAAAAGGTTCACAGTCTAGGCAATGATATAATATTGTAAACGGGTTGCGGCTGGGCTGGCTGAGAAGGCAGCGTAGGAAATAAGAAAAGTCGCCGGCAAATCAATAGAAACGCAACCTGGGCAATTTTTACAGTTTACCTGTCCCTTTTTTTCTGGGTACTCTACAAGCCTTAGGGTATTCCGCATGTGTCTGGTGATTGAGAAGATATTCGATTTCTATTTCTACCTCAAATAGGAATTGAGCCTTATTTTTGATAATTTTTAAGGATACCAGGAAAATGTATATGTTCTTATTGGGCAAACGGAGTTTTTAATTGGATATATAAATAAAATAAAATCTAGTTAAATATAAAAAAATTACAAATAATGTCTTCTTGATCATTTTTAAAGGGTAACTTAACTATGCACCCAAAAAGAGCAATGAGAATTCGTTTTTGGGACGCGTCTGTTAGTTTCCAATTTTGTCGCTGTTGCCACTTCTGTTTCTATTGTCATTTTGTCAACGTGCCCACCGAGTGTCGTCATTGGAATAGAATAGCACAAGGGGTGGGGGGTGGGGGGTGGGGGGTGGGGGATGGGTTGGTATATGGCGAATAGATGCGGGCATGGTTATAGGGGGGAGGCGTTAATAATGATAAGAATGTAAGACATTGCAATAAGCGACCAAATGGCCGACAGATAAGCGCAAGGCACAAGGCACAACAATGGGAAAGGTGCCAATGTGAGAGTGAAATAATAATGCCCCAGATGACAATAATGATGATGATAAAAAGCATTGTTAATAATGATGTTGCCGCTGCTGCTGATGCTGCTGCTCCTGCTGATGATGATGATGATAAAACTAATGGGCCGACGGCAATTAGGTATGAGAAATTTGTGTTTAGGTTTTTTTTTAAATATCGCACAATATGAGAATAAAAACTGAATGGACAGCTTCAACTACACTTGAGCAATTTGCGCACAGTCGAGTGCGCACATTAACCCAGAGAACAAACACAAAAACACACATACCCAGCCACACAGAGACAGAGCACAAAATAAACACAACAACAACAAAGGGCCAGGCAAAATCAACATGGCGCACAAGCGCCGGAAACGGAAACGTCGGCCGGCCAAGCGGGCGGGCAGGCAAACGGTCTTCGGACCAAACGACCCACCGACCGATAGACAAACATTCAGACAGCAACAGGAAAGGCGACCACGACCAAAGCAATGCAAAACAAAAATGCAGTCATTTTTATAGACGAACTGTGTATGCCCTTCGATAATATAAGGAAAGATAGAAAACTTAGAATATATGGAGAAGAAAACATTTAAACTAAACTGTTATGTTAAATAGCTTATCAAATAAAAAAGAAAACTTTGTAATGCACAATTGTGTAAATAATTTGTAATTTTGAAAGGTCAATAATAATAACAAGCTAAAGGAAATATTAGAATATACCCTATAAAAAGAGTCCACAGAGAAAAAATTCTTTCTTATTCAGTTAAAAAATTTGGATTTATGTATATGTTTAGTTAATCTTTCATTTAAACTTTTTTAATGTGTCACATGTATATCTCAGACCAAGATTTTAAGAAAGTATGTAATTAAAAGTGTTAAAAAATATATAAAAAATAAAACTATTAAAAAAAATCTTGAATCTTAATGCATTGCAAATTTACAATAAGTTTCGCGCAACTTTTATAGTCATAAAAAAGTTTTCCCTCAGCTTTTTTCTATAGCATCTAAGCGAATGTTGTAAAAAACATTTTCTATTTAAAAAAAAAAAACTTAACAAAAAATATGTAAGCGTTTCTTTTTTTTTCCTAAAGCCAAGGCAACAAATGCAATTATCCTGTAATACTCTATGCTTTTGGGTCAAAAGGAATAGGACAAAATGGAAATGGGCAACATTTGATAGACACATTTTATTGCTGCATGAAGGCAGCGCCAGTCAGGCAGCAGGCAGCAGCAGCAGCTACTGAAAAGGACGCTCGGCTGGCGATTGTTACAGACATGCACTCATATAGCCCATGCACATGTACATATATATATATTAGAGTGTATATATGTGTGTGTGTGTGTGTGCGTGTTTGCCTAACCACTCTAGACAATGGCGCGTCAATAGCTGCCTCGGCATTTCCTGCTGCCCGGCCAAAACGTAACCCAGCTGCAGCTCCAGCTTCACGCTGTAGTTTATTATTCCCGCTAGTCTAATGCTTTTCTATTTGCTCTCTAACTAAATAAATTTTTATCATGTGCCAAGGTTTAACTGTATGTGTGTGTCAGTGTGTGTGTGTGTGTGTGCTGTAGTCCATCATGCCATATTCATGCATCCGTGGGTAGCATCATTCGGAGCGTTATTCATTTATTCATTCACTTCATTCACTCGCTGCTGGCGCTGTTTCTTATGGTTTTTGTGGTTATTGAAGCGATCATTTGGAACATGCACAGCATTTTCATATTTGTTATTTTCGCTTTTCCTTGTTTAACTTCTTTCCTCGCATTCCGTTTTCCTCTTCCCACTGCTTTTATTATAGTGCCCAAGCGTCTCCCTCTCCGCCTCTCCCCCTCCTCTCTGCTGCTTCATTATTAATGGCCAAAACGTTTAATATGCGAATTTAAGAAAATTACTTTCATAACACGACATTAATGGCGACATATAAATGGCATTACCCACACCCCCAGCCCCAAACCCACCCTGCTCCCCTCTCCATTTCTCCATCCCTCAATCTCTGCCGTCTCCATAACTTGCCGCTGGTTTCGGTTCTTATAGCGCATATATCTGATTTTTAGTGTCGATGAGATTTATCGTCATTGTGGACACACTGCGGAATCTGGACGCGTCGACCGATTC